CATAAATCGGTGTTCTTTTCCTTCAAAACCATCCTACACAGCACCTCCAGGTTTTCTTTAAAACAGTATTTTCCATACATCATGTCCCCCATCCTCAGTTCCACAGGGTGAAGTCAGCATCTTCATGCTGGCCTTCCAGCCCCGTCACAGGCCAGTCCCAGTTGCATCTTCCATTCAGTTCTTGTACCATAGCATGTAGAGTTGCACCCTCACTTTTCCCCAGTCCCACCATCTACCACTCTGCAACCCACACAGGCCCTTCTCCAAAGGCCTAAGTGGTCCTCTCTCACAGACCTTGGGCCCACCACTTTCAGCTGCCTCTGACCTGACTCAACACTGCTGACTCATCCACTGGCCTTACCACTGGGGAGGACAGGCACCTTTATCACCCTGGGTCTGTTTTATCTCCTTCACTACTCCATCTTCAATCTACAGAACACAGAATCATAGTAACATTCTGACCAGGGTTGACAGTAAGAAATGGTGAAATGAGTATGGAGAGGAGGAAGAGGAAGACAATCCATGTCAGAAGACCACTGCCATAATTGAAATATATAGATGATGGGCAGAACTATGGTGGCATCAATAGAGCTTAAATTTTAAAATATACTGGAAAGAATGAAGAGCAGGAAAATGTTTAGACATGATTGGTTAGGAAGACATAACAAAAATGACTCAAACTCCAAGCATGAGAAATATAAAGAGTGATAAACTAGCATGCAGGACAAAGTAGACAGTGCTGGGTGGGGAGGAAAGCAAGGAAAGGAGGGAGGGAGGGAATTGGGTTTGCATTGTGGGAGAGTCACTTGAGGATAGCTAGAAGACCGTGAGGTGGAAATGGGTGAGAGGCAGGTTCAACTCAGGCTCTGGGTTTGAAGTTATTTGTGTAGGCAAATATACATTCAAAACCACATCACTGACTTCTCTCAGGAACAAGTGAAGAGAAAGAATGTAAGACGACCTAGGATAAAAAAGAATCATAAAAAGTACTGACAGTACAGACAGGGGTTGGGGCCAGATAACAGAGCATGGAAATATCAAGTAAGTGAACAGTTTCAAGAGCAAGAGAAGTTAAGGTTATCTATCACATGAAACAGACTATTCAGGGAATAAACAGTTGTTTCAGCAGGGCTTCTCCTTCCCTCACCTACTATCCATACATTTCCTAGAGCATAAGCCCCTCTTTACCACAGATGAGAGGTATTGTTCAAATCCTCTTAGCTCCCCTCCTACAGGATCTAGCAAAGGCGTGAATATATGGGTTCTCATTAAATCTTTCTGGAATAAATGAATAGAAAGCAAATGATTCTCTTGTGTATGCTTTTCTGAAAGTACTACTAAATCCAACTTGTGAATGTGTGCCTATAAAGCTAAATCACAAGTTGCTTGAGATTCATTCTTATACCACCAATTCAAACCAATTACAGAACACACACTTCTTGTAAGCATTCTTTTTTGTTTTGGGGGGGGGGTTTGTTTGATTTTTAGCCTTATTGTAAGGACAATAAAAGGGGAAATTTTTCACAAAATCACTTGCAATTAAGCATAACCAAATTAAAAGTTGTGTATTCTCCTTATTCATTATTTTCTTATAAACAAGCTCAATCTCTATAATTTAGAGTTCGCAACTCTTTTGTTGAGGGTTTGGATTTTACCTCTTTTTTTAATGTATCAAGCTACTTCAAAGGTAATGGCTTCAAGAAAAATTTCATGATATGAAGCAGAACTTAAGTTTTTGAAGCAAGCTATAACTGAGCATTTTTACAGTAGTTAAATCACAAACACAAAGCAAAAAGTGCCACTTTAGGAAAATTAAAGAATGGGCCGGGGATTTACCTCAGTGGTTCTGCTGCCTGCCTCAAAAGTGCAAGGACCTGAGTTCGATCCCTGGTACCAAAAAAAAAAAAAAGAAAAGAAAAGAAAATTAAAGAATCACAGTCTGAGAATGTTCCACTCTGCAGGGGGAGAAACACATTAACAGAAAAAAGCAATAACCCAACAAAGAAGCAGCCACTGACGACTCCTTATGCTCTCTTCTTTTATAGCCTAGTTTCTAGCAAGATAGGCTACAATTTTTATTGCAATTTCTATCTTGAATTCATATTCTGAATTATTACAACCCAGACGCTGCCTGCCCCACCATCCCATTCCTCTGAAATCATTCTCAACCACACACTAGTGACTTGCCAGTTATGTCAGCCCCTCTCCTGCTTGATTTTTTCCATGCTATTTGTCACTGTCACCCATTCCCTTCAACTCTCCCTTGCTTTCACAGATGGTTCCTTTTCCTCCTCCCCCTGTGAGTGGGTGTCACAGGACTGTGTCCTGGGCATTCTTCTCTGCTCATCTTGCACTCTTCCTGGGCCAGTCGCTGGCTCCCTGATGACTTGTGATGACTCCCAAACCTCTCTCCAGGGCAGTCTTCTCATATATTGAATCCACTTTCTTCCCATTCATGGGTGATGCATACGAGTCTCCGGCATTCTGCAGTCTCCACCAAGCCAAAACTGAATCCTGTTTCCTCCAAGCCCAGATCATCTTCCTGTGGTCTTACTGCTCAAATGGCACCACCATCTATCCAAGCCAGAATCTGGGATTCATCCTTTATTCTGAGGATGTGAGGCCTCGTCATCTCATATCCAGGAAATGAATGTGACACGTCCTGCCACATTCTGTCCATTCAACATCACAGGCATCACTAGAGCCTGTCCCTCCTTTCCATCTTCACTGCCACCACCTTAGTTCATCACTTCTCTATTATCCATTCTCCTTGCCTCCAGATTTGTTCTCCTGTGCTGTCAATTCACTCCCTTCCCAGTTTCCAGTCATCTTTCCAAGATGTAAAACCTATCTTGACAATCTCTAGCATGAAGATACTAGGATGACAATCTTGAATGGAATGAAAGGCCTCCAGTGATCTGCCTTGTATACTTTCAGCCTAAAGTCCCACATCCCCCTTTCATCCAATTTTCATTAACCAGCAGGCTCTCTCAGCATTTGCTCTGAGACCTCTTCATTCTTACCCTGTCTCTCATCTCCTAGAGGAGTTATCCAACTCATCCTTTACAGAGCACAGCTCAAGGACCATCTTTATGGAAAGCATGGAAGGTCCTAGGCTGCCTAAACATTAAGTCCCTAGTCATTGCTATGGCATCAGTCCGCCCCACACTGTACCAGTCTACAACCCTGTGCCTATTTCCCGAACTCATGAGTGGGGTCTTAAGCAAGATGGCACCACGTTTTCCATACCTCTGAAGCAGTAGCTCTAATGAAGGGGCTTGGGTTCACTGATGTCACATATGAATGACATAAAAATCCACACAGATTTTACATCAGCAAGCAACATTACATATTACAAGTACTGTGCTGAGTTTCCCCTCTACTAAATTTCTCTGAATCACAAGATGCTATTGAAGATAAGGCATTTCCATTTACTGAAAAATGAAATACTGTATTGAAGTCTATGAAATATGACATATTAAAAAAGCATCACAAAAGCTTTATGTACTTAGTCACTATACCAACAAGACATTTTTTTTAATGTAAGTGCTGCAAAATAAACCAAAACTTTCAAAGAACTCAAATTATGTTTCTACACAAAGAGAATACATACATCTTTAAAAACAATGATACTGAAGTATTTTCCCTTTGGACAGTTCACTAAGGAGCTGTTTGTTCTGCACTGGATTGTGGGGGCTGTAACACAAATGTGTTCGTGGGTGATGATCCAAAATCCTGAGATGACCTGCCTCCAAGCTCACCTTCTCACCTCCACGTCCCTGCCCAACTCCCGCTATAAACAGAGCCATGTTCTCCCTCCACCCCAATTTTTCTCAACACAGCTCTTGACCTCAGTTACTGCCTGCCAGTGCAAGCCCAGCTACTCATGCTCCTCCCACTCTCCACATTCCATCAACTGTATCTCTTACCCATTTTATCCTACAAAATATGGAGGGCAGGGGGTGAGAAATTTCCCTGACCTGAAACTTTATTTACCTTCTTCCCAAGGCAGATATGCTGGGCTTCAAAGTTAAAAACTACCTGAACACAGGAAGACAAAACCCTGAAATAAGTAGGTTTTCTTTGGAAAACTGAAAAGGCCTCAGAATTGGGAAAAGAGTAAACCTTCCAAGAACCTTTAAAGTGTCATTAACTTACACTTGAGCCACTGTATCCAAGAAATCCTTGAAGGCATCCTATTGCCTCTCCAAGCACAATGCCCCAAGGGAATGTGGACACAAGCTTTTAACAAACTAGACAGGGTCCCTGCTCTCTGGAGCTGACAATCTAAAGAAGAGACACCCACACCCACACCACTACAAATACTTCATTACAAGAGAAGGTAAGATAAGAAAGAAAAAAGTTTTTCAAAGATCACAGAGATTTCAGAAGAATCTGAAATGGACAGAAAGGTCTGGAAGTTTCCATGAGGAAAATGGTTCTGGGCTGGGACTGGACTCACCCTGTAAGGCTGACATGCAACAGCCATGCAGACATATGGCAATCAAAGCCTAAAATCTTAACAACTGGATGATGACACAATAAACTGTAAGTCACGAGGAAGGATGTAAAGTTACCTTGCATAAGGAATGCCCTTTCATCTGTTCCAGAATTTTCAAGCATACATACAGTGCCATGTACTTTAAACAATATAATCAGTAAAACACTAGTTTAATATTTGCTATCTAAAAGTATCTGCATGCCCACAGAGAACAAATCACATGAAATAAATTCCTTAACTTTAATAACACACTAAGGCTACATCCAATGAACATCATTTAAGGTTTATCAGAAAAGCTTCATATTATTTTTAATACAAAAACCTGTATGATATTAAAAAGTCCCACCCTAGAAAAACCTATGTCCATCATCTTTCAATGATCGTAATCAGACACGTTTACTCCAACTTAGGTTTCGTTATAGGTAATCCTTCACATGAATCAGAGTTAAAATCAGTGCTTTACTATTTGTTTAAATCAAACGTTAGAAGACATCAAATATTCATTTTCCAATGCTTTTATTTATCCATGCAGATATACAATTATCATACATTTAAGAATACTTTTTAGTTATTAGCTGGTCCGTAAGAAAAAACTATACAAAAGTTTATACTATAAAATTGTATCTCAGGTGATTAGGGTCCCCATAAGAGAAACTCCAAAGGCAACTGCTCAGTACCCTCCTAACTACAGCAGAGCACAATCTGCTAGTGGTAAATGTGAAGAGAATGCCTATCATTTTCTTTATCACAAGGGAAATGCCTAGTACAGTGCCCTCATTTATTTCACATGAAACAGCCCTTCTAACCCTAGTTTCTGAAGTAAGACAAAAGGCCATGTCCCCAAAATGTACTTATTAAAAATTATCTCAATACAAGATCTATTGTTTTATATTACTTAACTGTCCTTCCTGAAATTCACCTGGATGTTCCAGAGCAATTTCCTAAACTGTTCATGGTTGATTCATCTATTCTAACATAGAATTCCTCAGCAACACACAATACAAAAGACACAGGCTAATACAGTCCTCACAAACTTTAAAATAGGTACATCTGAAATATAAATATGACTTTGCATTCATAATTTTTCCTCATGACTAAACTCTAAATTAAAAAAAAAATACATGGATGTTTTCAAATTCATGGTGCGTGCATCCTGTTCTCATGACACAGTCATTTGAACTTCTTATCTGCAAAACATAAAGCAATAAATTATGAAACAGAGGAAGATAAAAGCATGAAACCCCAATCCAGTTTACAAAATGAAAATCATAACGTTGTAGGACATGTAATGTGAAATATTATGTTATACATTTTTCTGGATAATTTAAAAAATTATTCTTGATTGTAAAAGTAACAGATCAATTTAGAAAATTTGGAAAATAAGGAAAAAAAAAAGAAGCCAATCTTTATAACCCTTCCATTCAAAGGAACTATACTTTCAGTAGTATATGATGTATAATTGAAATACATGATGAGTATTTCAAATTACAGTAAAAGACACACTGCCATTAATCCACCTCAAAATACAACCCCCTCACTGCAAACACACTTACTACATTGTTCTTGTCACTTTCTAAAGCAGTTCTGGATGTCTTCTTTCATGTCTTTAGTTGTACTGTCATGACTGCATTGATGTCCTGAATCAATTCAAGTATCTACCTTTCATGGTCATTTTAACACTGGCGAAGAGCCAGAAGATGCATGGTGCCTGATCCAGTAAATAAGGTGGGTGAGGACACACCATAATGTTTTTATGAGCCTGCCTTTCCACTGGATGGCACTCAGCAGAAGTATGCACTGTATTTTTGATCGCATCTCATAAAGACATGAAAGAGGACTCTACAACTGCTTCAGAAAGTGACAAGAATGATGAGATAAGTGTGTTCAAAGCAAGGGAGTGTGTTCTGAGGGAGATTAACAGCAATATGTCTTTTATTGTAATAATCTTTTGCATAGGGGCAACCCACTTTCTAGACCCTCTTCTGACTCTTAGAAGCTTTCTCTTCCTCAATAAAGTCTTTCTACTAAAAAAAAAAATCTTTTAATTTAAACATTCACTGTATATTCTGATCATACCTCAGACACAAGGAACTGGGGTTTCAGTTATATACATGCCTACGTATTTTTTGAATAAATTTATTAAGAGACTACTTCATTTTTATCTTCTGCTTACTTAATATATGGTATATTAACTATATGTCATTAAAAATTCTTCTAAAATATGATTTTGACAACTTACTACATGGATGTGTCAGAATATATTTAACCATTTCCCTGACATTTATGTCAGTTCCAATTTATTAACATAATAAATAAGACTGCCATAAAAATTAGCTCAACTACTAAACAAAGGGAAAATATCTGAGAGAATGGAAGGGTAAGTCAGTCAGTCCAGCACAGGAACTCAGACAGGCCAAAGGCCTTCCCTCAACAAACTGCAAACTTCTCTCTGTCTTGGAAGGCCATTTAAGCCCAATTCATTTTTATTGTCACATTTTAATACTGATGTTCATCTTCTTAAACTTTAGGAAATAAGATTTTTTTTCGTAATAGTTCCAAACTTAATCATTTAGCCTTGAAACTCAAGAAAAAGACTACTTTCTTAAAAATCCAAACCCAGTAATTTAAAATAAAACAGTAATATTTATGATTTTCAAAATAAAGATAAATTTTTCTCCTTAATACTTACTCAGTATGAGAAACCATCATTTCTTCCCTTTGTCTTGTAGAGTAATTTAGGCTTCCACCTGAAACACAAACACAGTCTTTTCATTGTAACATTCAGTAAAATTTAACTATGCACAAATATTTACATAGCTGTATCTTTTTTTAATAGAAAAGATTATGAAAGATGAAAAAAATAGAATTCTTATATGATATAAATAATCACTCAATTTTAGTTATTTAAATTTGGAATTATACATTGCTTCAAGTTTTGTTAACTGGAATATTGTACAGTGGACCCTTGAAATTCATGGAGGTTATATTCCTAGAGCACCTGCAAACTGTAAAAAACTGAATTTCAGATATGGTCAGGAAAATGCCTAAAAATGTCTTTTTTTATAGTTTAAACCCTATATATGTTATGTCTCCCACACAGTTATGTAATTTAATTTAATAAAATACAGTATTAATAAAGCCTTAGAAGGTACAGGATGTTCTGGCAGCACCTTAGGGATATTAGGGGTTTAAGAAGAACAAAACTGAGAACACTGGAGATAGGTACATGCAGTACAGCAACCTCTTAAGATGCAGGAATGCTGGTGCATCTGCTTGAGATGGGTTACAAGGCAGCAGCCAATCAGCAGCAAGAAGAACTAAATAACGCTCTCAGACTGGCTACTTGCAAACTGCCCACCAAAAAACAACTGTGGAAGATATTTGTGGTTACCAGGAAACTGTGGAGTTTCCATGAACAATTAGGTTCTAAGGAAAAATCCTCGAATGACTGAGACTGTAAGCTCTGAACTGCAACTTTGTGGGGGTATACTGCATTAACATTCAATAACAGTGAAAATTAAGAGAAATTTAAGGAAACTGCCTAAATTTAATCACCATGTATATTACATTCTGCTAAGTATATAACATCCTCTAACAGCAAGCAATTAGGAAAAATTAATAAGGGCAATCTCAAAATCTTAAAGAACAACAGAAGACTAATGCATATACTAGTTAAAATTAGTTTAAAAAATTTATGGGGCCGGGGATTTAGTTCAGTGGTTCCACCACCTGCCTCATAGGCGCAAGGTCCCTAGTTCAATCCCCTGTACCAAAAAAAAAAAAAAAAAACTTGTAATTTCTAATTCTAAACAAGACACTTTAAACCTTAAAATAAAAACTGCAAATATAAATCTGCTAGCTGATTTTTTCAAAATAAAGACAAGAAGAGCATGATGGCCCTTGTGTGTAATCCCAATACTCTGGGAAGCTGAACCAAGAGTATCTCAAGTTCAAGACCAGCCTGGGCAACTAAGCACAACCCTATCTCAAAATAAAAAATAAAAAAAGACTGGAGGCTGTAATCCAGTGGGAAGGCTCTGGGCTCAATCCCCAGTACCACCCTCCCCAAAAAGAGTTTATATTTTAAGTCTTTAGGTTATTTTTTAAATGCTGTATTTCCTTATGTTAATATAACATCTAAAATTTTATATTACAAACCTCAAACTGACTTGGCTAGAAAACAAAAAATAATTTCAATAAATATGAAGTTCCAGAATACTAATTCCATATTTTATAATCAAATGTGTTTCTTTTGTCATGAATGGAAAGTCACTACTACATGAACTAAGATACTAGCCCTCAAGGAGGCATGCAGAGAGCAACAAAACGGAGCTTGAGAGGAAGATATCAAAACTTACCCTGGGCATGATTCACCAAATAAAGTAACACCACAGATAAAAGTGCCACTAGGAATTTAAAAAAAAACACAGAGCCTTTTAAAAATATCTATTTCTTCTCAATGATTCCTAAGTTATCATAATTACAAACTAAAATTCAGACAAAAAACAAATTTTTATTAACTGGCAATTATACATAATATTATTCTCTCATTATTTTGTTTCCAAGAGCACTAGAAATAAGCTACACCCTCTTTCTCCAGGGTCAGAAACAGAGGCTGAGACTCCTACAGGCTACAGGCAAGGGAGCCCACGGCCCACAAGCATCCCCACCTTTCTCCCTCCGTAAGTGCTGGTCCTTCCAGGTGCTTTCCCGAACTCCTGCTGACCCCTAGACTGGAGTTTATTATTTTATAAAATTCCAAACAGTAGTCCTTTGGGGATTTTAATTCTAAAAATACCATGTCCATTGTACAAATGAATAACCAAACATTAAAACATAATTAATAGACTCCCATCACCCCGCAGGCAGTAAAGATCTCCAATGTCAGTGCTTGGCTTTTTCCCTTACCAAGTGAGGCACACTGTTTAATTTACTTTAAATTAATCTGGCAAAAAAATTTTTAAATGGCTTAGTGTTCTGTTTGACACAAATATATGCTAACCTATGGACTGAAATTAAACTTCATGTTGCATCAAAAATAGACAAAAACACTTCATGACCTAATGTTCTGAATTCTTAAATGACCCCCCTTTTAAAAACAAATGAATTATTTTCTAAACTTGATGGATTATTTCTAAAATCAAGAAATATTAAAATGAATTCGAGGGTACTCATAAGTAATGATCTGCAAACACCACACTTCAAGTATACACAGTCTACTACTTACAAATGGAAACAAAACTTGTGAAAATTATCACTGTAGTTTGTTATTTTAAATAAATTAATGAAGTATAAAAGGTAATTTTTATTTGTTACAGGAGAATATATTTTCAGATAAACACAATTTAAGTGTATGGTAAAGATTCTCTACAGAAAAATACTGATTTATATTTTAGTTTTTCAATGATTTCCTAGTGCTTCCTATTTTTAACCAATGCACGGGTAAAAATTAAATAACAGACTAAAAATAAAAGCAATGAATAAACCATGAGCAGTCACACCTAAATTACACCAATCTCTACATGTTCACACTCAGGACATACTCAGGACTTTTCAAATTGTTCCACTTTAAAGGGGAAATTTTCTTAAAAGCATAAATATTTAAAACAGAGCATAAGACTGATCCTACTGCTGCCTTTGCAAATACAAATTTCCTGAAAAAATGTTTAAATCTTCAATGAGCTGACCATAGAGAGACGAGCTGTAAACGTCTGACACAGACTAAGAATCAGGCAAATCTGAGCAATTATGTCTTAGGGATATGTATTGGAGGTAAAGAGAGGACAATGACAACTCAAACCTAATGGTAAAAATGAGAACATCATGCTATGTTAAAAGGACCTTAAATGTTGTTACACGGCATACTCACCAGAAACACAGGCAATGAAGAAAACTTCTAAAAACAAATATCCCCGAGTATCCAATATCATGCCAGCAATAATGGAAATGATTGCCAATCCAAGATTCTGAATGGACTGCATGCTGCAATTTAAAAAATACAAAAGCACATTTCATTTTCGAAAGTCCTCATACAGAAATTAACACTTCACTACACATATTAGTATATTTACTAGTGTTAAGAGATGTTTTAACCAGAGATAGCTTGAGATAGATTTTATTTCCTATCCTGACTATTTCTGCTCCAAGAGCGTCTGCTCAAAGGTAAGGGAACTTGCCTTCTATGTGAAATCAGCACTCAGTACTTAATCCTGCTGAATGAAAGAAAGACTATGTAGACACCTCCCACAGGTGCAGCTGCCCCATCTGCCTTTCTGAGACAGGGAGGGACTCAATTTCTCACTGAGAAGTCCTCAAGCACATGGGTAGGGAACCCTAACATCAGCAGTTACCTCTTAAGAGATTGCCCTACTCTTATCTCTCTCGGCGAGGCCTAGAGCTTGTGTTGCCACAGCACTACCTTACACAGATTAACTGCTGCAGGTCTCTCCAGGTTCACAGATATGCCAGAAACCTGAAGATGACTAGACTCAGGAGACCAGAAAATATTTATGACCCACCATGTAAAGACTATACTTACAAGCCATATGCAGTTCCCAGTTGATGTTCAGGAACTAAAAATGCCACCATTGGCCACAATGCACAGGCAAGCAATGAATAGGAGAGTCCCAGGAGACACTACAGATAGCAAGCCAGAAAGGTGGAAGTCTTGTATTAGCCAAAAGATGATTTTAATCACTAATAGATGCAAACTAATAAAATTAACATAGTTAATTAAAATATAAACATTTACGCTAATTTTGTTGTGATTAGACTGAAACATATTCAAAATATACAAAAAAAAGTCTTGGCCTCTTTATTAAGACTATCCTTCTAATGACAAGGTGCACACTGTCTTAACCACTTTTATTTGTCATCATATATCATATCATATGTATATATAACAAGTTGAGGCCCAGGATGCAGTCAAAGACCAAGCAAGAAAAAGTTAATTTGCAAAAAGTTCTTATGAATGTTTTGAGAAAGCCAATTTTCCATTATTTATTAGGGATAATAAATTAAGCAATCAAGAAAACATTATGCCAGTAGTCTACTCTCTTGCCTCTAGGTCATCAACTCAACTGGAAAGCAGAGCAGAGAACCCACTACCACCACTACTGGTTGTCAGACAACATCTAATGGTGGCATTTTTTCAATTTAAAAAGACACTTTGATGATTTAAGTCTGAGTAAGTATCACTGACAGCTATTAGATAAGCAAATATTAAAAGAATGTCTGTGCCCAACACTGACAAGGAAAACAGACACATCTATGTGTTACTGGTGAAGTTACGTAGGAAGTTACTGGAGCCACTTCACAATATCTACCACCATGTTAACTGTCCAAAGCCTCTGCTAAAGCACTTCTACTCTAGAACCTGGACTGGCCCTTGAAGAATAATTCTCCAGGAAGTCTAAGTGCATAAACAGTTATGTTCAAGATGTTCTTTTATCAATAGGCAAAGAATGCAGCACTTCAGCTTATAGTCTTTTTTTTTTTTTTAAGGTACCAGGGATCGAACTCAGGTCCTTGTGCTTGCAAGGCAGGCAGCAGAACCACTGAGCTAAATCCCCGGCCCTCAGCTTATAGTCTTAAAAATGACATTTTGAAGAACAATAAAAAGACTTGGTGAATTTATTATCAATTTTTAACCTACTAAGACCCAAAGACAAGCAAATAGATATTGGGCCAATCAATTTTTTGCCACTTTTGATGGAAGAACTTTTCAATGAACTTCAGAAAAATAAAAGTAATTAGCATCCTGGTTTTCATAAGGCTATTTTATTTCAAATTTTACTTCAGCACTGAGGTTATCCTAAAAATAAGCCAAATGAAATTAAAGAAACCTTATAAATTAATAATTTATACTGATTTTTGCAGAAATTGAAATCAAGACACTATTTCCCCACTGTCAAAGCACTGCCACCTGAATTTAATGACCAAGCCTCCTGACAATGGACTTGACAGAGTCCTTGCTGAAGCCCTGACCACTCAGGTGTCAAGATGGACATTACCATAGCAATCCAAGGGTTCCACATCGTGAAGGCCAGCATCATGTGGGACACGAGAGTGGTGGTTACTGCACATAGAACCCAGATGATGTTCTTCCCTGTTTTATCCACCAAGAGCCCAAATACTGGGGACATGGGAGCTGATATGATATATACAACACTGCCCAGAGAATATGTATGAAAGTTAATAAAATGCCATGCACCTGGAAATATCAAGCAAGTTCCTAAAAACATTAAGGAAAACAAACCCTAACTTAATTAAACATTCTTCTAAATGATAATCAGAAAATAAAATATAAAAAGTAGTTCAAGACTTCTGGTTTTCCATTAATGCAAACATGGACACTCGAGATTCAAGTTCCAATATTGTACAGTCTTGGTTTCACACTCAATACTGGGCTCACAAACATCGTTTTTGCCTAATTCAAACTGCAAAAAGAACTTGCAAAATTAAGGAAATACCTGTTAATTGCACTTGCTGCCTGGGAAGAAAATCCAAATTTCTCTATAAAGAAAATTCTAAAATTAAAAAGAAAAATGAATACATTAGAAAAACATACTGTTTTTAAAAACTTAATGCCAACTGAAAATGAATAAAAGTAACTTGAGCTCAGTAAACTTTTCTTTTTTGAAACTATTTTCCCCTTATTTGATATTCAAGCCATCTACTAAAGCTTAATAATTTATATAAATATTTCACTGACTAAAACATGATGCCTATTTCTCTTTTACATATAAACAGTCCTCACCATTTTTCATAAAACCAAATTTACTACTGCAAGGAACTAAGACTGCTTGTTTTGTGAAAGCAGTACTAGAAAGGCTCTTTGCTAAATAATAAATAGAGCGCCAGGGATTTAGCTCAGTGGTTCCACCACCTGCCTTGTGAGCACAAGGTCCTGTGTTCAATTCCTGGTACCAAAAAAAAAAAAAAATAGAATTCTTGTCTCAAATTACCTAAAATGACAGCATAAATTTAAAGATTACACAGTTACATCTCCACAAATACACTTGTACTCACATACTGCTGTTTAAGCCACTGGTAATGAAAAAGGAAAGAGAAGTAGAAGAAAAAAACAAAGAATTTTCTTTGAGCCCTGAACTTAAGTCTGGAAGAATTGCAGTCCCAGTTTTCAAATGGAGATCCAACTAGTCACAGTGCACCAATATGTGGTTTCCATTTGCAGTAAGAAGCCTCCTCACCAAAGAATAGAGGAAATAAAAATACTAGACCAGAATCTACTGTTGAATCAAAAATACTTACGAATTATTTCTTCAAAGAATAAAATTATCAAAGCAATAGTAAACCTTAAGCTAAAAAAATCCACTATATGTCAAGATATACAATAATCCCTGTGTAAATATAAACTATAACCAGACAAGAAAGATTTACTGCTAAAAAAACCAAAATTGTCATTTATGTGATTGAGCTCTCATTATCATTTAGCCAAGAAAAATGGAATGCTAGAAAATACTTACTTCCCAAGTCCAATAAAAGGGAACACCACAACATAATAGCCAACACAGATGATAAATATCAGCCAGAGGGGTAAGGAGAAGTCTTTTATATCCGTTAATTTAATAACTTCACCTTAGAGAAGAAAGGGAAGACAGTATCAGCATAATTTCACATATGTAAGGAGCTACATCTGTACTCAAGATTTTCTTCATTATGTGATTAGCCATTCCAATTCAGATTTTAAAAATACTACTCTAGAGAATTACATACATAGCATCTCTGGGATAACTTAAAAGATGTGTAAGAAAAATCAGAAGCTAAGATTGGTATTGACCATCCCATTCCCTTCAGCAAACAATAATTATTTTGCAAATATACAAAGTACAATCAAGAATATAAATTCTGTCAAAAAGTTTAAGGAGAAAAACGTATCCATACACTTAAACAAGTGGAAAAAGATGTGAAAATATAAAATAAAACATAGGTATTTAGCCCCACCATGTTTACAATACTGCATTAGGAACTTATTATAAATTCTCTTTAAAAGGCCACAATTCCCCAAATTCCCATTCCTCTTTCATTTAGGCTTACCTGTTTTTCCTTGTTCTTTATGAAGAATTTTCTCTGCTCTCTGATCCAAGTAAGCAAGAGCCAAGGCACAGATTAGTGAAAGAATACAGGTTATACCCCCTAAACAAAAAAAGGAGATTTTTAAAAACAGAACCAGACTAGAGGTTCCTGAAAGGTAGCATATTATATAAGCATCAGAAACACAGCAACTGAAAGGAAGCATCCTAAAGATATGAACAAGGAAATCCAACAGTTACCATTCGAGACAGAGAAGAGGAACAGCACAAGGCAAATTCTCAATAAATAATTTCTATTATTGCATTATTTCCCAGTACAAAGGTGAAGATTAAAAAGACTATAACCAACTAGTCTTGTAAAGCACAACAGAGTAGGGAAACCTGACGACTAGTTAGAAAATTAGTCCTCATTTGATGGATGCCAGGAAAATACTACAAAAACAGTCTGATGCTGCAACCACTCTATCTTCCTTCTTGAGTCTGTAATCTACTCTCTGGAGCCCCAGGGGCCCACCCTCCCAATGCACAGCTCTCCCCGGCTCTCCTTCCTGCGAGGTCAGCATCTCTCGCTAATGTCCATCTCATCCCATCAAAGCCATCAAAACAGTGAGTAAAGTTCACACTTCCCGAGAAGAAATTTAGAAAGCTTAGTAAAACATACGAACTGCTTTATCTTTAATTGGCTAACTTATTATGGTCTAGCTGAAAAGTCAGAAGATTTGGGTCCTACTGCTGACACTAACAAGCTCAATGATCTTGGACACAGAACATAAGCTCTCTGGGGTTCAATCCCCATGTGTAAAATGAGAGGCTCTGACTTGTTCACAGCAAGGGTATTTTTTAACTCTATTTTTGGCTCTATAAGTCTTTAAATTCTAAAATTCTCCTCTGTGGAGGAAACTAAGTTGGGATTCTGAAGGGTATTTGAAAGTGACAAAGTTTTAATTAAGGCAGTGGAATTGAGAGGGAGGGTTTGGAAAAGGAACTTAGGATATGTTTGCCTGTTAGATTACCTCTCCTCTGTCATCTTTTTAGCTGGCAGCATATGCCAAGAAATTATAAGAGATCCATCTCTGTGGGCCCCAAATAAGAAGCCATGCACACATTACAGAGCTTAGGCAGACAAATCCAATGCTGAAAAAAGGCATGAGAGGTAAATCCAGAGAACTTCACATGCTACTCAATAACCTACCTAGCAATCAGTGCCGCAGAGCCTTGTTGAAAAGAACTTAGGGACATGAGGGATTTACACAACACTGGTCAAAGACCCAAAATTTTCCAGAAGAGCAAACTGAGACACAGGTTACCTTTCTTGTTCAAGGTGACAGAACTGGTTTGAGGCAGCACTAGAACCCAAGGTTCCTGACTCCCAACTCAGATGATTTTCAACCATTTCATGTCATATCTGACTTCCACACAATCTAAACTCACTACCAACTGACTTTGATCAAGAAGGAAAAGTTCTTCCTGCTGCTATAGACTATTAAAACCTTACAGGAATAAATTCCAGTTGTTCTAAGTTTTACACACTTTACCTCATTGAACATGTAAGACACAAATGATACCACTAAAGTGACAAGGAAGAATAATATCCTCCATTTTAAGAAAGTGGAAGTTAAAATACCAACAAATACATAAATAATCATTTCTTGGTAAAAGACCCAGCAGTGGATCTTCCCCAAAGAATTAAAAGAATCATACCACAGTGATATATGTGCACCCATGTTCATAGCAGCGCAGTTTGTAATAGCTAAAACTTGGAAACAGCCCAAATGCCCATCAACTGGAGACTGGATAAAGAAAATGTGGTTTTTTTAAAAAAATGGAGTACTACTCAGCCATCAAAAATGAGAAATTAGAGACATTTATAGCTAAGTGGATGCACATTGAGGTGATACTCTTAAGTGAAATAAATAGGACACACATGTGTAAATACCAAATAGTTTCTCTGGTGTGAGAAACTGAAAGTGTAAATAAGGACAAAATGTATAATACATAATGTGAAATAGTAAGAAAAGGGGTAAAGGGGAAGGAAGTGGGAGGGCTAGGGGAAAGGATAGAAGGGAATGGGACTAATATGAGAAAATGGAAAAATAGGAACAAAATCTTTGTAAATAGGGAGGAATGGAGGGGTTGAAGGGAGGGCTGGGCAAGGGTGAAAAATAAGAACCAAGAGAGACTATGTAAAGGTGCAAATTTCCAATGATGAATGTCATTATACTGTATACCTAAAATGTACCAATTATTAGAATGAAAAATCAATAATGTAAAATAGGAAGAAAAGGTCCAAAGGGGTAGGGGTAGTGGGAGGGGCAGGGGAAAGGAAAGAAGGGAAAGGAAAAAATTATGAGAAATGGAAAAAATGGAAATAAAGTCTTTGTAAATAGGGAAGGGTGGAGGGCATGAAGGGAGGGCTAGGAATGGGGAAAAAATAAGAACCAAGATGCATTATATAAAGGTACAATTTCCAATGAGAAATGTAATTGTGTTGTATACCTACAATGTACCAATAAAAGAATTTAATACAAAAAAAAAAAAAAAAAGACCCAGCAGTGGGGCAAAACCATAACCAAAGCGTTCTGACACCAACTCCTGGGTTCTCTCCTCCTCTCTGCCCACAGTACCTCCATGACAAGCTTTCAGAAGAGACAAGATCTGGGATATGACGTTTCACTCACCAATCAACAGTGTGGCCCCAAGGGTTGTGGGACCAGCAGAACCCAAAGAAGCTTCAATCTTAGAATACAGCCATCCCATGAGGTTCATGTTTACTGTACTTCCCTAGTGATGAAAAAAATCAACAATTTTCAGTTATTTATAGTTCTGCCTTGTTAAAAAAAATGATTTATGACACCTTAGAGAAATAAGTATAATTAAGATCCAGACTAAACAGGGGGTAATTTTTTTTTAAAGTATATGGAAAAGGGCCGGGGATTTAGCTCAGTGGTTCTGCCGCCTGCCTCGCAAGCTCAAGAACCTGAGTTCGATTCCCGTTACCAAAAAAACAAAAAACAAAAAAACAGAAAGTATATGGAAAAATCTGACATACTAAGATAAAGCCATAGATAAGATTAATGTACAAAAAATGCCAACTTATTAGAAAATGTTATCCAAAAGACAAACCAACCAAAGCAAACATGTAACACAAGTTATAAAATTCAGAGTTCCTAGGACAAAAATATACCAGTAGTTTAGAAAAAGCAGTTTTTCCTGGTACTGAAGTCTGAATTAAAAAAAAAAAAAGAATCCTTTGAATATCTTTACATAAACAGTGAAAACCACAGTAGATATCATCATATACTCAGCAATAATTCTACCACTTGCCCATCACTATTGCAGGTGTTGAGAATGTCATAAAAACGTAACTGAAAAAATATCTAAGTTTCATAAAGCTTACCATACTTTGGTAAAACAAATATGCAATACATTAAATAATGACAAATGCTTCAAAAAATAAAGGAAAACATAAAGCAGGGTAGAAGAATCTAAAACTGGGAGAGAAGGCCTCACTGAGAATATGACTTCGGAGTAAACTTGAAGAAAGGGAGCTGGGAGGATGCCTGGGTATGAGGAGCTGGCAGGAGAGCAGCCCACACACAGGCCTGTGCGGTAGCCTGCCCGGATGTGAGAGGGCTGAGAAGGAGGCCAGAGACTGGGACTGCTAATATAAAGAGAAAGAGATGAGCTCCCCAGAGAGACTGGTCAGGAGGGGAGCTGTAGGGGACAATAAGGACTTCTGGCTTTTTGTGTGAGAGCACCATTGAGGTTCTGAGCAGAAAAGTGGTGCAATCCAAGTACACTCTGACAGCCTTGGTCCAACTTCTATATTCAACAGGGACCACAAATAGGGGCAGCGGAGAAGCAAGGGCACCATCAAGAAGCTCCAGCAATAACCCAGCAGAGAGATGAAGGGTCTGGACCAGGGTGGTTAGCAGCAGGTACGGTTAAACACTGTCAGATATGAACATATTCTGACGGTACAGCAAATAGGATCTGCTAATGAAAGATATGTGTGTGGGAATGGGGAAAGAGGTGGAGCTCGGGATGACACCAAAGTCTTTGCCTGCAAATGGTAAGAAAAAAGCTATCATTAACTGACGATAAGAAAACTATAGCAGAGGCTGTTTTAAGGGACACTGGGTAGAATACGAAGAGCTGGGTTTGAGATATGTTTGGTTTTTTATGCCTATGAGTCAGACAAGTAGAAATGTCATGTAGGTAGTTGCCTATATAGGTGTGGAATTCAAGGGAAAGGCCCAGACAAGTGACACAGTTTCAGAAGCAAGGCACTGCTGTTTAAAACTTCAAAACCAGATAAGATCACCAAAGCTGTGAGTACACAAAGAAAAAAATGATATCCAAAGACCATGCTTTGGGTCACTCCTTTATTTATAGGTTAAAAAGAGAGAGATGGAATCACCAAAAAAGGTAGAGAAGAGGTGGACAGAAAGGTCAGAAAAAGACTGTAAGATTCTCAAGAGGCCAAGCAAGAGGAAATATCAGCTGTATTCAATGCTACTGATACTGTCAGCTGCTAAGGAAGACTGATAATGAATCCCATCCTTAACAACATTCTCACAGTAAATTATCACATGCATATTTTTTACAAAATGGTAGCTAATAACATTACTCATCTGAGAAATAAGGTAAATGAAAACCTGCTGGTAACTTTCTCCAATATCACTGAAAATATAACCACCTCAAAAACAGGGATGCTGCCTTAATAATCTTTTAAATCTTAAATATCTAATATGACTGGCTTACCAAGTACTCTGTAAGTACTTGCTTATGGAAATAATAAGCTTAAAATTAACAAACTGTAAAGAAAATCAAAAGAAGGCTAGACTTCCAAGCCCTAGCTAAGACATGAATAAAAAGAAAAGTGAGAAGTCCACTGCCAAACGGTGGTGTTATGATTACAGCTCAAGTGTCTCAACTCAAACAAGCTCACAGCTCAGGCAACAGAAAAACCATGGGCTGATAAATCCCAAACACCTCTGAGATCATTCTAGTGGTGCTCAGAAAACAAGAGAAGCACAGAATGATGGAGTTTCAACAAGCAAGTATTTCTCAAGTATTTACAGAGTACTTGCTAAGCCATCTTCCATTAACAGAATGGCTCTCAAACTTTTAGATCACATAACTCTTTCATTTCAGGTCATCTTACCCATACCCTAAACACACCAGATCTAAAGGTGCCCTGGCTGAAGCAGAGGGAGTGCTTAAGATCGGTTCATTCCCTTCCTCAAGTCTCCCAGCCACCTCCACCACTATCACACTCCATCCAGAAAACCCCAGAATGCCCTTCTAGAAATTTAGAGCTCCTCAGAATGTAGTTCAATAAGAAAGGAACTTGATAAGCACTAGTAACCACAATGGAGTCACTGAGAATGAGTCTTGATCAGCTGAACTTATTTCCTTCTTTCAGAAGTTATCAGTCAGCTAGAATCAAACACCTTGACTTTTATAAGACACACAAGGAAGCATCTCAGAATATCCTTCTAGAAAAACTTAGAAAAAGTGAAAAACTACACTAGTTCAAAGAATTACAAATTAAAATACTTTTTATATGTTTCCTTTTAAAGTGATAAAATGCCTTTTTTAAAAAGTAGTAACAGCCGTAGTACAAAAGCCTCAATAAAAAGGATCCTTTCACATCCCATGGATAGGGCTGGGAATATGTCTCAACAGCCCTCAGAAAACCTAACAAACCCTCTGACCCAATAATTCTCATTTCTAGTCACTTTTCCTAAGAAAACAATCACAGAAATGGTTAAGTTTTATAGCAAGAATGCCACACTATCCCATTATTGAAAAGTTAGAACCTACACGTACAAACCATAGAAATACTCCCATATGAAATGCTACATTAAGAAATTTTTATACTGGATTTCTTCCTCCCAAAGAGTATGTTACATCTTCATGCCATTATTACTCTCAAAAAGCTTGGTTTTTTTTTAAAAAAAGACAAAGATTATTTTTTAAATTCTCTTTTATAGAACTCTATGCAGAAAAGACCAAATGGGACAACTGAAATACCTCACAGGATGCATACATTAAAACGTAATGTTGTCCCCTGGGTATCCACTACAAGCCAAACCTAAAACCCATGGACATTTCTAGGCTCCAAACACCCGGAGTATTGGTTAACTGAGTTAAGTCCAGAAAGACATGAGTACCGTGGTGAGGGAGCCAGAATGCATGTTATAGGTCTCAGACAACCACAGGCAATGAACTTCTGATCAAGAACTAAAGAACTGTCATCAAATAAGCAGTGTGCTGCTGTTACACAGCAGAGGAGGCAAATATTAATTACAAGAGGCAAAGGGGGGCAACAATCAGCAAAAGCTACTTGTGAAGGAGGTTTCACCTCTACATGAAATTGAGTTTCATAAAGTTCACTGAAGTACATGGCTGCCTCATCAGAGTGAGCATCTCATCACGGGAAATGTGCAAGCAGAACATGGACGGCCATGTGAGGGAGCTTCATAGCAACCATGCCAAAAACAGGTAAGAAACTGACAACCCAAGCTCAGATTCTTTGAACTAATAAATGTTCACTCTACCATTTTAGACTGTTTACTAACTAAAATAAGGAAAGAAATGCCTTACTTAAAATTAAGCAAGCAATACATTCTAGAGAAATATGTAAAAATCAGTAATTTATCACATCTAAGTGTGCCCAAACTAAGAGAAATTATGCAATTCTACCTGTTGCTTCCTATCTGGCATCATGAGCTTTGTCACCATACTTACAATTCTAGCCATGCTGAGCTGGAGTCCAAACACCAGGTTTAATTCTTTCCCTTTAAACCAACTCACAGCATACGTGTTCTGGGCAACTGCTAAGGACTCTCCACCAATCCTAAAAATAGCAAAAGGAAGAAAAGTCACAGCTTTTAAAGAAATACCACAGTTAGCAATTTTTGACACTCCTCCTGTCACGAGGTAGGGAGGCTCTATGAATCTGTGAGTTTGTGCTGCCTCAACCAACAAAAGAACCATAGCATATACAACAGTCTTATAGTGGAAGTAACACTGTGTGGCTCCAAGATCGGGTCATTAAAGATGGCGTCTGCTTTTTCACACCAACACTCATGCTTGGAGCCCTAAGCCACCTTGTAAAGCCAACTATCCCCATGCTATGAGAAACCAAGCCATACAAGAGGACACATTTAAGTGCTCCAGTCAGCAGTGCCAGTCTTCAAGGTATCCCAGACCAAGTGCTGAACACCTACATAGGTCAACCAACTTCCAGATGATTCCAGCCTTCCATGAATCTTCCCAGCTAAGCCCCAGACATCAGGGCACAGACCAACTGTCCATACTGTCCCACAAAGCCCACAGGCATAATGACATGACTGTTTTATATTGAAAAGTATTAAGAGTAATTTTATACACTGCAATAACCTTGATAGGCAATAAAAGGAGTCCAAGTTACTTTATCACTATTTAGCAAACAAAACATTGATGAGTGGGGAGTCCATACTTTGTAAAAACATAAAAATTCACACTTTTGAGGCCAATACCCAAAGCTTTCCATCAATCAACCCTGAATTCACTTTCCATATTCAACATTTGCTACCTCCCGGGTTTTACTTTTCCTCGGAAAAGCTTCACATACTTAACCGTTTTTCACTTGGGGCCTGTAGTTAGGAGCTTAGTCTCCTCCACATATTCTAAGAATTAGCTGTCTTCACCACTCTGTCCTAGTCCAAAAATATTTTCCTTCTCTATTAATCCAAATCTCATACTTTTATAATGGCCCACTTCATTCACGAGGTCATTCCTGACCACATTTCAGTCTCCGGTCCCTTTCACACTTTTATATGCATTTTGCTTCCTTCTCCCTTAAAGCATTTCTTGTGTGCGTGTGTGCGTGTGTGTGTGTGTATCTACATGACTGCAGTGTTTGTGAAAAGCTTGAATAACTTATTCATGCATGGCAGGCAAGTGCTCTACCACCAAGCTATATTCCTTGCCCTTTTGTACTTTAATTTGAGACAGAGTCTAGCTGAACTGCCCAAGGCTATCTTTGAACTTGTTGATCCTCCTGCCTCAGTCTCTCATGTAGCTGGGATTACAGGCATTAGGCATCATGCCTGGTAAGGCATATTGTTAAATTAAAATAAAATTAGTTTCTGTCAGTTATCTCCCTCAGGGAAGGAAGCCCAAGGGTGGACTTCAAACAGAGAGGTCAACATATAGACACTGTGCTCCTTTCCTTCAACTCTTCATCAGAAAGCAAAAGGATCTGCATGTCACCTGCTGAGAAAGACAATTAATGGTTTTTAAAAATCCTTAATAAGGGACTGGGCAGGGTAGCTCAATGGTAGATTGCAGGTTTAGAACGTGTGAGGCCCTGGGTTCAATACCCGCCGTAAAAAAACACATATAAAATAAGATAAATCCTTAATAAACATGTTAAATTAAATTATGCATAACTTACCCAAAAACAAACCTTCCCAATTCCATCAGCCAAAAAGCATTAAATATTCCACCCAGAGCAAAAATAACCTGCAACAGAATTAATATGGAATCAATGAAGAATAAATTCAAAATATTCAAAAGAAACAGTAAGTAACAAGATAAATCATAACTTCTACAATAGTTTTACTACTCCTCTGTAATCTGTGAAATTAAAATGATAATGTACATCTATTTCAAGGCTTAAAATATACTATATTAGCCTTCAAGGGCATTTATGGATCCTGGATAAGCTAGGTATTCAATAAATACATCTTTTGCCATTAGAAATGATTAGACAAGAATGCAAAAGTCACTGTCAAATAATCGACATTTTGGTCTTTCTTACCTGACCAATGCAAACAAAGCAGATAAAAATAATTGTGCCCCATCTGTTTAAGAGAGAAAGAGTCCTTTATTATAATTCATTTTGGTTTTCTCTGCCCACTTCATTCTCTCCAAGGAAAGAAAAATTAAGTGCTCATGTGCCTCTGAAATCAGCAACTTTCCTAGGCTGAATGCTAATTTACAGAAGTCTAGACTTCTAAGGGAATTCCAAGGCTTCAATAATGATGCATATTAATTTAAGCCATTATCATCTCTTAAAACTTACTGAATAATCTTCAGGAAGTTCCCAGGTCAAAACTATTTTAAAATGAAAATTCTTTATAAAATTTCTATTAAGAATTTAGGAACTGATTCCAAGAAATTTCTACAATAACTTTAAAAGATAATAATTCTTAGTAACTACAAACTACTTTTAAAAGGACAAATACTATGTTAATATAATTAAAAGTCCAACATTATAGTCTGAATATCAATTAACATTCCCTCAGAATAATGAAATGGTAGTGTTATAAGATCCCTTAAAGGTCAACTGAGTAAACTATTTCTGAAACTTAAATCCCTTTCAAAATCCTTGTGAAATGGCCATACCATGCTCTACTGAATGTTCTCTAGCACTAGAAAATTCACTATGGTTCAAAACAATTGAGACCAAATAAAATATATTTCACTCTTCTTTCATACTCTAGCTCTACAAAAATTTTGAAAATGAGCCTCCAAGTCTAAACACTGAAGAGTTACCTCAACTCTTACTCAGTAGACATGGTTTGAATACACTTCACCAATACTGTATTCTCAGTTGATTTCTAAGTCTTCGCTAACAACATACATATAAGGATGAAGTAACAAAGCCTTATACTGTAGTATTATTCCTTCCTCAGCATCTAATACAAATGCTCACAAAAAGTTCACTGGATGAAGAAAGGGAGAAACAGAAAATCTTACTGGGGCTGAGGGAAATACATACTACTTTTGCGCCAAATACTGTACATCCATCTTTCATTTAATCCTCATAACAATTTTACAAGCTAGGAATTATTATCCACTTTAATATCGAGAAAACTGAAGCACGGGAAGTTACAAATAGCTTAGAACAGTTATGTAGTTGAGTAAGTGGCAGCAAGGAGATTCAGACCCTGGTTTGTCTCATCACATGTGAAGTATACTTTACCAATGGCAGATAGCCAAGTTACTTTATTCCATTAACAGCATTAACAGCATTACTAGTCTGATCTTAACTGATATACCAACCAAGTTTCAAAAACCAATTCCACAGTTTTAATATACAAGTCTACACAGTTTTTCCTAGATATACTTTAGCCCCATATTTTTCTAATAACCAGGTGAGATTTACCCATAGGTAAGATTTTTTTTTTCAAGCTTACCGTATTCCAAATACTCGGTCTATCAAAAATCCACCCAAGAAACACAAAACTACATTGGGCCAAGAATACCAAGCATACAGCAGCATGAATTTTGTGGTATTCACCTGCATGTCCTATATGGAAAGAAAACAATTATTTTTCCAAACAACTAACAAATCAAAATATGACAATCTAAAATAGAAAGTGGTTATATTTTTCCTTCTGTTGTAGGACAACTTTCTTAACTATTTGTAAGTCACTTCCTTGAGAATCTCAAAAAAGCTACAGTGCCCCTGCCCCAGAATAATGGTCACCTGGGACCTTCTTGCACGCATATCCCATTCTAGGGGCTTTGCAGATTCCAGGATCAGACACCCTGGTAGGGGGACTGGACCTTCTGTATCTTCAATAGTCTTATTCTCTCATTCCTCCCTGCACTGGGGATTCCTCTCACATAGAAAAGATAATCTCACCCTATTCCTATCTACCTTACCCTCTCTACCTGCTAACTCCTACCTGTTTACTGTTTCATTCCAGAATGCAAAGAGCCAATCTATGCATTTTTTCCTGCTCAATGGTAAAAAATTTACAAAGAAAAAAAGATGATCTATAGCTTAGAAACTATAAATAACAAACATATTTCTACAATTCAAAACCACACTAAGAATACTGTGATGGACAATATCGGCAATCCCTGTCCACATTTTAAAAAACAAAATAACAACATATTCCAAATCAAAAGGCTATCCCATAAAATCATTTGTCATTCATATGATTAAGAAAACAGAAAATGAAATTCAAGCAAAAACTAGTATTTTGGCAATAATATAGAAATAGCACATAATTATTTATCTAAGGCATAAAAAATTTCAAGTCGCATATGTGCTACAATAAATGTATCTTTTGTGGCAACTCAATACAATTTGTGAACAATCCTTTCATCTTGGGATTTGGTATCTAAGGATGTTAAAATATATTCAGTGTACATTTCAGACTAAGTAACTTGAAAGTTGTCAGTGCATCAGCAGTTACAGTTGCTTCAAAGCAAACAAAAGACACAATGGTGAAAGAGTAACTTACTCGTTGAATCTGAGTCTGAAGGGCAGCAGGATTATCATAGCAAAAATAGCTACCTAGAAAACAAAAGAGCAAGTATTTTGCAAGTAATGATGGTCTTCATATAAAATTTTCAAGTTACAATTACTACTCAAGTGATTTTCTTAGGGGTGGTGAATTTCTCAGGGTCTTGCTATGTAGTTCAGGCTGGCCTTGACCTCAGCAGCAATCCTCCTGCCTCAGCCTCCCGCCATCACACCCGGCCCTCAAAGATGGTTTTAATGTTCATATTTAAGGTTCAAGGGCTGACACTATGGAACTGTTTTTGGACCACTTCTGTATCTACCAGTATTTTCTAAATTGTAGCCAAATAACTTCTACAATTTTATAGTGTGCAAACAGCAAATACTGGGAGCCTAAATTAACAAGTCAATAATTATTTATTTTATTTTCCTCATGTTTCACATGTTCATTATTCTATTAACACCTTAACAAAGCAGCTACATTTTCCTCATTTAAAGCTACAAACACTAAAAATTTTTACAAACATCCTCAGCAATTTCCTGATGTTGGCCACTACTCATCTTGAGAGAAGAATAGAATTCAGCTATTCTGACTAACCAATACTTGAAACAAATTCTAATTCTACCAAAAAATGTACATGTAGAGTGCTACCAAGGAGGAGAAGTATAACAGAGTTCTAAGGAAACAAATTAAAATACAAGATCTCTTGAGGAGTTAGAAGAGAAGTGGGAAGAAATTGGATATTAATGCACTAGGATTTATTTTAAGGTAAAATTACAATTTCTTTGACAGACTAGAAAATAATATTGCCTCCCACCGAATTTACCAAAAATAAGCTTTCATCTTGAGTAGAGACAATTTCTTAACGTGTTTTATTGTTTTTATTTAAACCCAGAGACTTACGGTCCTTGGTTTAATTCAAGGGAGTCAATGCCATGTTTTAAAGTTAACAGATGGAAATACGTAATCTTTCCAAAAGAGGGGGTCTTTGCAAAAACAAAAAAGTTGAAAGAAACCAAAATCCAAAGCATCCTTTATTCCTACCTTTTGGGGTTTTTTTTAATGTTTATTGTCAGTATATGTTTGCAATACACACTATATTCACCTTAGGGAACTGGCACATACAAGTATTACATCCTGATCTTTTTTTTTTACTGCCCCCCCCATCTCTGCAAAGTCTATTTCCTACCACCTCTTTTATTCTTCTCTTTAAATCATTTATATTTTGGATTTCTCATATAAGAGAAACCATATATTTAACTTGTGTTTGATTTATTTCACTTACATTATGGTTTCAAGATCCATCATTTCCCTACAAATGACTCAAAGTTATCCTTCTTTATGGCTGAGTAGTCATCCATTGTGCATACCATATTACATATATTCAAGCGGTAGCATAAAGTTCCTAAACCACTATGTTCCTAAACTTGCTAATTAAGAGATTCTGGCTAGCCTCCTGAAAAACACCTTTCATACCAAACAATACTAGCAATAGAATAGTCGCTCAATGAATTTAAAATGGCAAGAGGAAAGATGTTCTAAAACTCAGCTCAAGAAATTGCTGAGATTTTGTAAGCAAAAACCTACCACTGTCAAGCCTACCACAAGTTCAGTATGATTGCTTCATCTAAGCTACCAGCGAAGCACACTCCCAAAGAGAGAGAGAAATATAAAAGACTGCCAATGGAATCATTCATTTATAAACGGGGGGGGGGGGGGTGTAATGATTTCTGAACTTCTGAGCATCATATGCCAAGACATCTTGAAGATCTAGCTTCCTTCATACCTGTGTCCCCGGGAAAGAGCTGCTGTCCTCTCGGACTTAGAGGACACAGGAGCAGGACAAGTCATCCAGCTCAGCGCTTCGACCCCACTTCGGGCGCCCAAACACTGGCACCATGGACTGGTCCGGGTGGGGCCGTGCAAAGAGAAAGGGGAAGGCACCAGCTGAAGCCCAAAGCTGTGCGGAGGCCAGATGGCACCCACGAGCTCAGGGGGACCTGGCCCAGAGTTGTCGGGAATTCCTCGCTCATCGTCCCATCCCTCCACCCCCGCCGGCTCACCGAAGCCAAGAAAGCACATCAGCATCAGCACCAAAAGCCGGTGCGCCAGGCGGCTGGGGTCGCAGAGGGCCGACAGCACCTGGGAGGCGGCGGGGGCTCCGCTGCGGGCCTCATCGGGGCCGCCTGCCAGCAGCGCCCGCGCTTCCTCACCCTCCTCCTCCATCTGCCTCCAGAGAAGGAGGCAATCTCCGGACGGAGCAGGAAGCCAAGGGGCAGGTGCCCCGCCGGGACTGCGGTCACGTGGTCGCGGCACTCACGTGACCAAGCAGCAAGTCACGCGGGGCCACGCTCATGTGACCGCGCGGAGCCCGCAGGGGGCGAGTGAAGGGTGAAGGCGCACAACTTTCTACCTTCGCACGCGGCGGCTTCCGGAGTCTTGAGGTTCCTCAGGCGCAGTCTCCGGGGCTGGCACGGTCTCCTGCCCTGCTGACACACGCACACCATCGTTGCAGCTTGGCGCGGATCCACGCTGGCTTCTTCCTGGGTGACCCGCCCTGCTCCAGGGCTGCCCTTTATCTCCCGGTATGGCCTCTGCAGCTTGGACTACTCTTAATACTGCCAGACTGGGTGGAGCAGCTTCCGACGTGCCCAGCCATGTGTCATGTACTCGAAATACAAAATGGAATGAGAGGAGTTCTCTGGCCTCAAACTTAACAATGTGGCGAATGAACGACTGTGGTGAGAACCGCGCCAGAAACAGCACTGAATTCCACAGAAATGCCTGCACAGGACATTGGGGAGGGGGAACAGGTGGAGTTCAAAGTTTTGGGAGAAAATAAGGAAGGGTGTGGCTTTATCTAGAATAGAATTAGAATGAGCCCATTAGGGTTCCTGTTTGAGGAACCCGTAGTTGAGGGGGATTAAAAGGGATAACAAGACAAGCATGGAACAGATCTGGGTTTTATGTGTCTGTATAGATCTGGGAATAAAAGAAGAAACTCAGAAGTAGAAACACGAACTCTTTTTAGTGAGGAGGCATGCTAGGATACTAAGCAAAGTAGTAAGACTGCGAGGTTTGTTTCTAAAAATTGAGTTTGGCAACACAGCCTCACCTCCGTTTTCTGGGTGTCCCAGACCTTTGTCAACAATTTTGAGGGTAGTAAAGCTAGAGGCTGAATAACTGTGAGGCTTATAAAGAAAATGCTGCAGGAGTGAAGATTAGAGATGGCCAGGGTTTATCCTGGAAAATAAATGAGACAATCAGTGCTTAAGAGGTAAAATGGGAATAACTTCAAATAATAACATGTGAGGTCTGAAAGAAGAGGCTTGAAAATGTCTCCCGGATTTTTACCTTGGTTCCCCAATAGAGGTCAAAATATAAAAAGAAAAAAGTGGGGGGGGAGTATCAGAGGAAGTAAATCAGTTTGGAATGTCTGTATATAGCTGCACTTTCCATCTCCCGTTTCCTCCCCTGCTCCCAGTGAAAACTTGCGTCAAGATGACTAACAACTCCAACTTTCCAAGTATGGTTACTTCGCTGTTTTCATTTTACTGTGCTACTCAGGATCACTTGATGCAAATGAAATACCCCCTCCTTTTAGCCTCCTTAATAGTGTACTTAACCTTCCTCCTCCTCCTCCTCCCCCGCCTCCCCCCTTCCTCCTGACCATTTACTGGGTTCTCTTGTTTGCTCTCTCAATTGTCAGCTCCCCTTTTTCTCCCCAGACTTTGCAAACTGTTCAAGTGCTCCAACCCACAGTTCTGGGCTCTCTTCCACTCATCTATTCCCATAATTTTAAATATCCTCGATGTGCTAGCCAGTAGGTAAATACTCACCACATATGGCTTTTGAGCACTTGAAATGTGGCTAAGTTGAATTGAGATACTCAGTAAGTGTAAAATACACACTAGGTTCCAAAGTCTTAGTATGAAATAAAGAATGTAAAACATTGTTGATTCCTATACTGATTATGTATTGAAATAATATTTTGCATATATTTTGGACTAACTATATTAGTTTAATTTAAAATTCAATTTTCCCACACAGCCAAATAATTTTAATTTTACCTGTTTTTATTTTTTCTTTGGCTGCTGGAAAATTTTAAATTGTACAGGAGACTAACCTTATATTCCTATTTTTCAGTGCCAGTTTAATGCTGTTGCTTCCAGAATACCTCCATTCCACACATTCCTCACGTCATTGTTAAAACTCCTATTCCAGCTGCCCATTTGACATCACCATGAGGACACCTAATAGGCATCTCAAATTTCCTATATCCAAAATACAATCCTTGAGTTCCCTCACACATGCTATATTTGTCCTAAGTGCTCCCCAGCAAGGTAAATGGCACTTCTCTCCACCTGTAGTTAGCCACAAGTCTATCTCCTGAGGACTTACTTTCCTCACCTCCCAAATCTCCACCAGCGTGTCTTGTCAGTTCTCCTCCAACATGTCCTAATAATCCATGTTCTCCACCACTGCTGCTTTTATCAGCATGATATCACCCAGACAACTGCAATAGGCCTACAGTTTTTTAAATTTTGCTTCTTTTTAATGGGAAATGACATTCAACCAGTAACAACAAAAATAAAGCTCAAAGCAAGTTTTTCTGCTTCCCTGTCTCTAGAAATTGCCCTGATTAAGTTTTCTTTTGTTTTGTTTTGTTTTGTTCTATGGTATTCCTCAGCCTCCCAGAGTGCTGGGATTACAGGTGTGCACCACTATGCCCAGCTTCATTCTTAAAAAAGAATTACGTTGCCTCGATGTGTTCTACCTTATTTCACAAGTCCTGACTGCTGCACATTTAAGATGCTTCCAGTATGGGCACAGTACTGCAATGAATTGCCTAGACAATGATCATTTTACATATGTTGACATTGCCTGTAGGGTAAAATTTTAAAAGCTCAGTTGCTAGTCAAACAGTAGGTATATTTTTAAAATTTTGTTAGATGGCACCAAATTGTTCATATTAAAAATCATTCCTGTTTACAATTTTGTCAGCAATGCAGCTAAGAGCCTGGTTACCATACCTTCCCTATTCATGCTTGCTATCAGTTTTCTTTGGTCTTCCCAAACCAGTGGAAAATGGCTGTTATCCTGTAGTCTCAATTTGCATTTCTATTACATCAAAGGAGCCTGAACCTCTTTTATATAAAATCCATTATATTGTCTTTTCTATGAATTCACTTTATGTCCTTTACTTATTTTTCTGCTGAGTAACTGAGGGGTTTTTTTCTTTTGTTATTGACAAAATTGCCTCTTTGTTGCTGGTATGAGTTACAATTTCTTTTGACTCTGTTTATGATATCTTTTCCATCTAGTCTTTTAATGCCAAATTATCTTTTTTTAATAACTTAAGATATTTGCTCCCCACATAAGATTTTCAACATCCTTAAAAGTCAAGCCTCGTGGTACACACCCATATTTCCAGCTACTTGGGAGGCTGAGGCAGTAGGATCACTTGAGCCTAGGAGTTCAGGACCAGCCAGGGCAACATATTAAGACCAGTCTCTAAAAAATGTATTTTTCAACAGCTTTTATTGGTCCCTACTTCCACTGTTGCATTTCTATGATATATCGCCCATAAGCAATCAGAATGATCTATAAGTAGGTCTTAGGGTTTGGTTTGTCAAGGGACGAGATAACTGTTCAGTATTTAAACTAAAAAGACAAAACTGGATTTATTGTGCACTCTAGAAAGGAAGAAGTATGTTGAGTAAGCAAAGTCTCTCCAAGCAGAGCATGCTGTTGGTTCCACGTGGGGATTTTGAGAGTCAGGGAAACCAGGATGACCAGGGGCCTTTCAGAGCCAAAAAGGTTTGACATCCCACGTAGAAGCTTGGATACTCTGGGAAGACTTTTGTTAAACTTCCAATGAATTTATTGGAGTGAATCTGTGATTGACTGATACTTGAGGATCAAGCTTTGCAAAACCAGTATAATCAAGGCAGCTATTGATTAATCAGATAGCCTTAAAACTGGTTCTAGGACTGTGGAAATTTGCTTTAATTCTCAGAGTTTTTCTTTTTAATTATAAAAATGCAGGCCTGGGGGCTGGCTCACTGATACAGTACAGTATCTGCCCCTGGGTTTGATCTCCAGTAACCCCCAAAAGTAAAACAGAAAAATCAGAGACTAGTGTGACCCAAAATTTATGTCTGAGCACCTAAAGGACATGGAAGAGCACTTGAGTGAATGGCAACTCCCTTGTTCCCTGTGTCACCTGTGAGAGTTTTCTTGGGAGCTCAATGTTATTTAAATAGCAATGGAGAGAGTACACATTTTTGCCTTGGGCCTGGGATAAATACTGTACAAGTGAGGAAGAAGGGAATCCTCTTCCTTACAAAAGAAAACCAACTAATCAATGTAGAAAGAGTGAGGGAAATAGTCACTATTTACCAACCATCACAATTGATTCAAGCAAGAATAGTGTCACTGAAATTAGTGGATAAAAATCTGAGGCATAATGGGAAACACATGATTTCAAAGTATCTCCTCATCAGCTACTTATTCATAATAAAGGAGAAAATAGTGCAGAAACCTGGCACATACCACTTTCACCAAGTGATCAAAGACGTTACCAGGATTTAGACAAATTGACATCATGTTTCTCCTGACATATTCTAAAACTGAAAAAACCTCAGCACTCTGTGATATAGCTACCAAAAATTCATAGCCAAATTTGATCAAGAGGAAACATCAGCCAAACCCAAAGTGAAAGGCAAAACAACTAGCTTATTCTCCTCAAAAAGTCAATGCCATAAAAGACTGAGGAACTGGCCCGCATTAAGAGACACTGAAGGAGACGTGAAAACAGTGAAACACATGCCACAATTTTGTTTGCTACAGGGAACATTATCAGGACAACTGACAAAAACTGAATAAGACCTATAATTAAGTAATGTACATTCTGTCAAAATTAATTCACTGATTTTAATGATCATACTGTGATTAGGAAAGAGAAAGTACTTACGTTAAAAAAACACAGATACTAGAAATCAAGGCATGACATACCTGCAGCTTACTCTCAAATTGTTGAGAAAAGTTGTGTACACACACACATAAACAGAAAAAAGATAAAATGAATATGGCAAAATGTTAATATATGGAGAATCTGGATATCGAGTATATAAAAATTCCTTGTACTATTCAGACAACTTTTCTTTAAGTCTGAAATTATGTCCATCATACTTGAACCTCTTGAGAGCCTTGTGCACCTTTGCATCAAGCACCTAGTACAGAGCACAGCTTGGTAGATGCTTGAGTGGCTGAGTCTCCTGAATCAGGAGAATTACACCTGCAAGGAGTATAACCAGAAAAGCCTACTGCCGTGGAAAAACCTATTACTGCCCACACAATAAGCATGCTAACTTCACTGATCTATTTTTATCCAAGCAAACTGCACTTGTTTTATTACTGAGGTGGAAAAGTGTGAGAGTGACTTCAGGTTATAGAGACTTGGCCATCTGGAACCACTGGATTGAGCACCCTGCTTTCATTGATAATGGAAGTAGCTATAGCCTCTGGAGCAAAGTTAGCTACACCATAAAGAAGGCAAAGTTAATCTCAAAGATCTTAGTTCTGGATGTAGTCTTCACATGCCTTTACTTCCTGCCACTCCTCCTGAGTGCTATGTAGATCAAAACACTCCCTTTATCATCTTCCTATGTAAAATCCAAGCTGGAAACCTCAGTCATCTTCAGTAACTTCTTCTCACTCCCTGGCCACTCCAACCCTTTCTCTTCTTCCAAGCATCTAAAATAATTAAAGCCAAAGAGCTTTATGGATCTCACCCTCATAGCCAAACTTTTTTAAGATCTGAAAAAGTGCTTATGTGATTAATACATAATGCTTTTTATTGTATAGCAAAACATCCAGGAATTTTGTAGATTTATTTTTATTCATTTCCAATGAAATAATTCTGTTATTCCTTCATTTGTTTATGGAAAACTTGAGTCCTGGAGGAGTCAAACAAATAATATGCTAGGATTGCAATGCAAGTTAGATATCAATCAAAGATTATACAGTAAATTATGTTTTAAATAAAGAGGAGTGTTCCTTCCCCCAAAGACACTAAATTGACAAGTATGTCCAGATGAAGAGGAGAAAGGCTTGTTTGTTGAAATCAAAGACAGAAACCATGCTGAGGCTAGAATACCACCCCAAATTCCCCCAAATTTCTATACCAATGATAAAATTTATGTCCTACAGACTTCAGTTTTAATAAAGTATGTCTTTTATGGGCCAGGGATTTAGCTCAGTGGTTTTGCCGCCTGCTGCGCAAGCACAAGGACCGGAGTTCGATCCCCGGTACCCCCCCCCAAAAAAAGTATGTCTTTTATGAATGTTTTAAACTATGTACATATTCTTCAATCGATTTGTGTTCTTCTTCCTCTTTTTGCATGTATCCAATTATGCATTTATCCATATGTCTACCTATAAAAAATAAACTGATTTATTTCTCTACCATGGTATGTGGAAATCTGTCTTATGGACCAATTGCAAAGATAAATTCATTATATTTTTTTCCTCTCTCATAGGGGATGGGGGGAATCAGGTTATATTAAATTTTTCTACTTGGAAAAATGTTAAAGAAGCCCTCTAATTTAGTAGAGAAAACAAGTACAAGTACATAAATTAATAAAAAGAATATGCACATATATATGAATTATATATTGAGAAGAAAGACAAAGTATGAGAAATATTTTAATAAATACTAGCTTGTTGGGGAACAGCCATACGAAGCACATATACGCACTTCTGTGGGCTTTGGGTTCATTGTCACAGCACCCACTTCAACCTTTTGGTTGACTGTGAGAGTTTATTTTTCCTTTGCCGGCTGGCGAGATGTTCAACTCTGTCGGCAGATGGCGCAGAAGAGACGTCTCAGGAGAAACAGGCTCCTGCTGCGCGCGCAGCTTCTCCAAGGGCAGGCACCTGAGCAGGGGCCCTTCTGTTCCAGGCTGCAGTGTTTTCCTAAACGGAAAAACTGTATGAGTATCATATCTTAAGAGAAGAAATAAATATCTAAAATTAGAGCTAAAAAAGACTACACATCAACGGGACCTCCGTAATGCAAAATGAGAAAAGAGACCAAGATGAGAAACAGTTAATAATAATTTTTCAAAAGACCATGGAATAGCAGCAGTGACAAGGGAAATGTGAGCGTACCTCTGCAGGAGACTTTAAAATTTGGAAACTAGTAGGGATTTTTCCATCTGATGTCAACGCCCATCTTTTTAGAACAAAGAGGGGCTACAAGAAATGAGGCAGAAATTTAAACCCAACACACCTGCTATCAACAGATCAGCATTAAATGCTGGAGTCATCAAGCTTTCCAGAGTTTGGCCCACTGCTGCTGCCTCCTCGACTATGTCTGGTCTGTGAATGCTGCACCACGGCAGAGTCATATGGTTCACTCTGTCACCTACACCCAGACACACAGGGCTGTTATCTGCTTTGATCTCCAGCTCTCTAGATCTAAACATTAAGAGAAGTGCCCTGCTCCAATAGATTACATAAGTACTTCTGTAGGACTAAGTAGCCACTTGGCTTGAAATGCTTTTCCTACACACCACCATTCCTGATCCAACTTCAAATTTCAAGTACTGTACTAAAAATTTAAATGATGTACTGATTAAGTCAAAACAGCATTTATGTGGGTGTCAGTTGTTAAATGTCTGTTTGCCTAACAATATATTCTGAGAAGTGCTCCCTATTAGTTTATATAGATCTTCCTCATTCTTGTCAGTTAATAGATCCTCTTTGTTCTTATACCTGGCATATTACTTCAGTGTGTGAATGTACCATAGTTTATTCAGCTACTCTCTTATATGTGGGTATTTAATAAATCTGCAATATTTCATGATTACAAATCATGTTGCAATAAATAATCTTGTGTGTATTTTTTTTATAGTTAAAAGCATTCTTCAGGCTAAAGAGGGATTGATGGGTCAAAGGATAAAGGCATATATAGGTTTAAGTATTGCCAAATTTCCCTTTAGAGGAGTTGTAGCATTTTGCAATGTGGAAATATCCATTTACCCATAGTGTTACTAAGAGAATGTATTGTCAAGTTTGAACTGGCATCATGTGGTATAGATTTCCAGAAATAGAACAAAGAAATTGCTACAATGATGGGTATACATTTTTATTTATTTATTTGCAATACTAGGGATTGAACCCAGGGCCTTCACACTTAGCTACATCCCCAGCCCTTTTTGGTGTTTTTATTTTGAGACAGGGTCTGGCTAAGTCAGTAAGTTATCTTTCAGGCTGGACTTGAACTTGCAATCCTCCTGACTCGGCCTCCCAGAGTACTAGGATTACAGGCATGCACTACCAGCAGGATATAAACTTTTAAAAGTAGAAATTATTTATTTTGGGATAGATATATTCAGCCATTTAGAGCATCTGTCTAGAATGTTACCTTTGTTTGGCAGTTAGGGGGCACATGTTTCACTGTTTGGCCAGGGGATGTCACCCTAGTGCTACTTTAAGACGTACATTTTAGCACATTGTTCTAGGGTCCTGTATTTTAGAACAACAGCTCTCTTGTGTTCACTAGATAAATTGTTCTGTACAGGTTCTACCCCACGTCATCCCCCATTGCCACAGGCCTGTGTGGATCTCACAGTCCTTGTTCTGGTTGCCATAGCCCTTGCTCATCCTCTATTTGCAAGGTCACCTGAAAATGCACTAAATTCATCTGAGGTAGTTGACAACATAATTTGAAAAACACTCTACTTCCCTAATGGTAATATAAAAGATGTTTTAATTAAATATTTGGAAAAGGATAATGAAAATTTGGGAAAGGGTTGTTTTCATTTTGCATTTGCAGAGGTTGTACTTTTCATATTATAAGCATCCACTGAGTACATCTTCTGTGTTCACAATAAGCCCAAAATTCATGGGAAGACAAAATCTGCATGGACCAGTGGCACAAATTTGTATTCCCCCAGGAAAGAGTCCCTGGAAGAGTCCTCCTCCTTCCACTGTTTTCCTAAATCTCCACTATGTCGCTAGTCACTTATAGCCATAGGACTTCCCTCCTCACTGTGTTTGTGAAGCCCTTGTATGTCTTGGGGCATTTAAAATTTTCTGGCCTTGGTCTTTCTGCTATAGAGGGAGGAATTTTAAAGTCTGCCCTGTATGTATTGGACTATTTTTTAAAGAGGAGCATAAATTGGATGGATAGTGGAGCTTGATATTGAGTTTGGAAGAGTTACCACATTGTTACTATCCATTTCACTGTCTGCCGAGCTATCTTGAATCTAGAAGTTGCGTGGGTAAATCAAGCCTAACTGTTTAAGAGGAATATTTTGCCTAAAATTTTTGGTGATTTTTCAAAAGCTAAAATTGAAAATCTGGTAAAATATTCCCAAAGAATCTGTTGCTATTATACTCTGTTGATATATTGCAATGAGCAGGTTGAAGCAACTATATACCATATGTGTGTGTCTATAACTGTATACTAATTGTATGTAAATAGTAATATGTTAACACTTCTGAGTGCCTATTTTGTGCTAGGCTCTATTTTAAGTGTTTTTCTAGAATTATCTGATTTAGAATTATCCTAACAGCAACCCTAGGAGATGGTTACTTTCAATATTCCCATGTTAAAGATGATGAATTTACAGCTAAGTAAGTAGGATAAAGTAGAATGAGAGAATAGTAAGCCAGAGATTCCTGAGAGATGTGAGAAATCTCCCATGATCCAACTGGATCCCACCCCAGTGGCTTCACCCACCCCCCAGTATCCATCCATAGGTAACCAAAGGGAAGAGCACTAAGTCCTGAGAGGACAGCCAGGGCTCAGACTTGACACCCTGCCTGGAAACGTCCTAATGCCCATACTAGTAATGCTGATCTAGTAAATGGGTAAAACATAGGAAACAGGAGAAAAAAAAGAGTCAGGGCTTCCTGTGACCAGGATTGAGGACAGGAAGAGGAGAAGATAGACTTTACCAAGTATGTGAGGGAGACTGTGTGCTTGTGCTGACCCAGGCAGCTCAGGCTTTCCTAGAAGGCAAGGTTCTCTAATAGGAACAGAGCCAGGTAATTCATCCTCTGTAAGTCACTAAGGAAGGTGGTGGGAAGCATGGAAAATGAAGGAGAAATAGTGCTTGTGTTCATGTTTGATTTAGTGCCTTTCAGGGGCTGTGGTAGAAGTGCCTCCCCCATATCCTCTGCAGTCATGAAGCATTTCCATATCTGCAGGCCCACCTTCCAACTCCAGCTCTTTACTTCAGGTCTGTCGGTGGCCACCAGGAACCAACTCGGCCTGCACAGAGGGTAGGCTGGAAGTGTCAGGGAATGAGTGCTGACTGGGGTGTTGGTAGATAAATATCTCACCCTCCTAGCCACTTGATCAGATAACCCTCAACTACATGTTCTGTGCTGGTTCTGAGTTCCTCAGAAGGATTTTGCCCTAACTGCCCTCTTGCTAACTTTCATGGTTGCCATCACTTCCCTTCTCAGAGTCTCCTGAGATTATTTTCTATGATGGATGCCCCTAAGACCACCCCCAGTTTTGGTGGCTCACTAGGAGAACTCATGCAATTTAGCATATAATTATACTCATGACTATGGTTTATTGCAGCTAAAGGATACAAATCAAAATCAGCGAAAGCAAAAGGTACAGATAGCTTTTACTTTTTAATGCAAATGCATTTTCTTTCTTTTTCATGCCTAATTTCATGCCTAATTTCTCTAGACTTGGAGCAGGCTGAGCCTGAGGATGGCCCTTCATCTCTTCCCTACTCCCTTTCTCCCCCATAGACTGACTCATATTGCGGACCCTGGATGGCACAGCCCCAGGAGACAGTTACATTGTATCCTTCACTGTTCCCTTCCTGCACATGCCCCTATCACAAAACAATCATGGTTCCTTCTGCCTAGGCCACATAGGCCACTAGCACTAATTTCCCCCTCTTCTCTTTCTGTTTGCCTTCCACTATAAATAAAGAGCACGTGGTGCTCCAGATAGCCATTAGCTCTGGACAAGCTATAGTTCCACCTGGTCCCAACTTTCAAGCATAATCTTAGTATGCATCCTTCTTTCTTGGTTTCTTCTCTTTTTTTTCATCTCCCACTGCTCTCACCAGCTTTGAACCCTACACTGCGCCGGTTGTGGCATCAACTCTCCAGTACAATACTGAATAAAATTAGCAAGAGCAGACATCAGTGTCTTCTATTATCATTAAGTACAATGCTGGCAGGTTTTGGTAGGTATCCTTTATCATATTGAGAACATTTCCTTCTTTTCCTAGCTGTTGAGTTTTTTTTTTTTTTTTAATCATGAAAGAATGTATTTACATTGCTTTAGGTTTACTTTCTTTTTCCCAGGTCTCTGAGGTACAAAATTAAATTATTCAGTTTGATATTTTTCTTCTTTTTAATATAGATATTTAGAGCTATAAACTTTACTTAAAATGCTGCTTTAGTTGTACCATATCATTTATGCTGTTTTTTGTGTTCATTAATCTTTTTTCTTAAATTAATTTTATTGGTTCATTTGAGGTATGCAGTATAATGATACTCATCACTAGAAATTTGCACCTTTACATAATTTCTCTTGGTTCTTATTTTTTCTCCATTCTCCTTCCCTCCCTTCAACTCCTCCATCCCTCCCTACGTACAAAGACTTTGTTTCCATTTTTTCATTTTCTCATATTAACTCCATTTCCTTCTTTCTTTTGCCCTAGCCCTCCCACTTCCCCTTCCCCTTTGACACATTTCTTCCTATTTCACATTATCTATTATACCTTTTAGTCCTTATTTACACTTTCACTTCTCACACTAGAGAAACTATTCAGTATTTACACATGTGTGTCCTATTTATTTCACTTAAGAGTATTGCCTCAATGTGCATCCATTTAGCTATA